GGCATCTAAATGTTGGAACTTGTGAAGGACCATTATCCCACATCCCCCATAACCATGCACCAATCCCTCTACATAAGTGAGTTCCCTCACTTAATGTTCGAAAGGAATTGGTGTCGGTGAGCCTACAAACTTTTCGCTGGTCCATACTAAGAGCATTTTCATTTTCCACGACAATCCAAAATAGCAGGCCAAAGTGAATGAAAATTCAAACTTGTTGGGATGCAGTAATACTCCCAAATAAGCCTACAAACCTAACTTTCTAGTATCTAATGATGAATGGTACAACCGCTGAACACGTGAAATTAGAGGACTTTCTTGTGATAGCAGCGTACTTACAATACTGCATTGTCCAATGGCTTCTACACAACACTTGAGCTTTAAAAAGACGCTGCCATGTTAAGGTGGCATGGATTTTCAACAGCCAATGCCATGTCCCTGTACTTCCCAAACAACTGGAACAAGAAGTCGTCACCCATATATGCTATAGCCTAAAGACAACCCACCAGAATCATGTCAGAAAGGAAATATAAAAATGCTCTTCAGCCATAAATAAAAAATGTAAGAATTACAAGTGCGTAACCATTTCATACAGTTGCCTAGCCTCCTTTAGTTTTTCCTCTTTAAATAAAGCATTTCCATCCATCTTTCTTCTATCTGCTGCTCCAATCCTTTCCTCCACAGTCAGGTCACTACGAGTTTTCCTCTATGAAAGGCAGAACCCATAAATATACATGTTACTATAATACCGAGCAAAACCCTGGAAAAGAGATTCTAAAACTTCAATTGGTAACTACTTGGGAAGACATTTAAAAGCAAGTGGACAACTTACTTCTTTGGTTTCGTCAAATCCAATAACCTCATTTTCATATGATATATCTGTCAATGGTGGAACATTCGGAAAAGAAAAGCTCCCTTCTTTCCCATACCCTAACTCCCAGCCTACATGTAACAGAGCACGTTCTCTAGACTTCATGCTGGACACCGCAATAGCCAAGCCAGTCATTTCTTTTTTCTCTGTTGCAGTAACAAAAATACACTACTAAGAAGAAGTCCATTCCATTGAATACCCCTAGACAATGCTTAAATTCTTATGGACCCAAATCATCTGGAATGATAAGTTATTACAGAGAATCAAAGCAATAAATAAATCACAAACTACTTGCAGACTGAATAAGGAACATGTCAGAACTCGTTTGCATATACTCTATATATATAAATATAAAAAGTAACAGACTACTCGGCAAGGCTAATACCTTTTCCTAAAATCATTTCAAGTAGTCGTTGTTCATCCCATGTGCCTTCAAACTTGTGTCTCGTGCTTTCAGTCCATACCCTGTAGTGCACTAACACGCATATGCCAACCACTTAGTGATTGAAAGAACCAGAGTAAAAATTCACTGCAAGACCTTTCTACATGTATCTTCTCAGGCATCCCTTTTATAAATTTTAATGCATGCACAATTAATTCTCCTATACGAATAGTACATCCACAACTCTGTGAACGTTGATGTTGTGTTTGTCTGTTTGCAAGTTACAAGCTCATTCATGTCTTACTCCTATATTAACATATACATGCACACATAACAATTATTGGGTTTTGAACTAATGCACACAGCAAAGCACTACCAAAAAGGAAACCACTTGACGCTTACAGAATCAATTTGAAAACTTGGATGGTATTTGACAAGGCTCACATGGATTGTACTACCCTATAGGAATTATAGTGCCCCATAATATATGGGAACGACCCTATAGAAATTATAATTCACTCATGCACAGAAGGGAAAAACAATCTTCTTCTTTCCCCTGCACATTATACAGGGACTACATAGCTGCCATCCCCACTTATACTACATGAGTTTTGGAACACAGGATTTCTGAGTTACTCAACATAAAAAAGCATGGAGGAATGATGAATCGGTGTACTGGAAGTAGTAGTCATAGTATCCAACTATTGCATTCCTTCTCGATACATATATTATTTCCAAAATCTTATCAATTCGTAAATAAAAACAGTAAGTTTCCGGCTTGATAATGACCTAATGATGAATTGTCCTTGAAGAAACTAAGTAGAAAGGGGTAAGAAAACATCTTCATGTGTTCATTCAGTCCAACTCGATCACTCGAAAACACACTTATGAGTTATTTGAAGCTAACAAGCTACTAAAAGTCGAAGATTAGACATATATTTGCTTTTACAGAAACCGATTGGTGGCCTTTACTGCTCAGCCTGCTCCAGATCCCAGAACCATCCTCCATTACTTCTAACTTGTATAATCCCATAAGCCTTCTCAAAATTCTGCAAATACCCCAATCAAAGACGCAAAATTTAATGCAATTGCATTCGAATTCCAAACCAAAAATTAGGAAGGGTTTCGTTTTCCTTGGAATTTTCTTGGGAAACAAACAGAAAACGTAAAATAGAAAAAGGAAAAAGCGGGACTTACTTGTATGATGAGATACAGACGAGAGAGACATCAACTTAATTAATTAATTATCTGTTGTGCCCAAAAGGCCTTCGCCCACGCTCTTCCTGCACTGTCCTTGTGACACCTGTCTTTTTACTTAACATAAAAGATTGCCTGTTTCGAACTGGGCCGATTTATTATCCTAAAACCACTTAATGTATAATTGTATATTTTTATAATTAAAATAGTATAATTTTTTTTAATTTTATTAAAAGATAATTTTTTTAAGAAGCTATTTCAAATCGTAAATTGTTGATGCTTCTAACTAGATGAAATAAATAAATGCTGTGTGTATTAAGGAACATATTTATGATGACTGTTTATTCATTTGACACATTTCGACATAAATGGAGGCATCATATGCCCAATGGGGGCAGCTGTCCCCACTCAACTCTTTTTGTCCTGAACAATGCTCCAACTAATATGTATACTCAGAAATAAAGTTTCAGTAAAAACACTCAACTCAAAATACTCTTTGCGTTTTATACTTTTCTTATCCTCTCACCCTTCTGATCATGTAATTTTTCCATCAGCTAATACTTTACAATTTTACTGTTCCAACACCAGTTATCCAACATCATGTTGTTTGACAATAAGTTTTCCCCACTAGAATAATATTTGATGTGTTATAAGGTAAGAAATCTTATCTAAAGTAGTTTGGGTGTGACGTAAAGTATTGTCAATTGTGATGTAGAGAAAATTTCCTTATTCTCCTATATAAGGGACAAAAGAGAACGATGTCTTATCTCCAAATAGTTTTAGGGGAGGTTCGGGAAATTTCCTCCTAGGCCTATAAATATGTGTATATTCTATGTAGAACGCATACTTCAATGGAAATCAGTTATTTGTATAAACTTCTCTTGTTGAGTAAATATCCTTATTTGAGTCATTCTTAATTTGTAACGATCCTAATTAGAGTAAACCCTTTAGTTTCTCTAGATTCAAGCACAACACGAGCCTGAGCACCATCTGAGAACTCAACAAGGGACATTTGAGAGTGGGGTGTGAACCCATGTTCTCCCAACAACAAAAATACTCAATTTCCTCATGCTCCAACTTCTTCATTTTTGAACCAAAGGAGAAAGCTAAGGCAGCAAGGATATTGCATATATCGACCTCAATCCTTTTGACAGAGAGCACCTGATAAGGGTGAAGCTTGGATTTAGGGTGAAGAATTCCTACTCCTGTGGCCAGCAGCTGTGGTGGTAGACAAGTACGATGTACTGTAGGGTTTATGTTGGTGTAGCTGCAGAACCAAGAATTGACGGTGCACCTTGAAATGGTTCTCTTGGAACTTAAAGCAGAGCATTGACTTTATAGCTGTAGTTAAAGCATCTCCCAGATCCCATACAGGCGAAAGGTCAAGGTTACTAGTGAATAGCAGTGAGAAATCAACATGTAGATCAATAGTCAAGGCACCAAAAAACTATCGTCTTATTGCAGCATTTGGGATAGCTGCATCTTCTTCTGCCAGGATAGTTTCAAAGATAACTAACCCTTTAGCACCAGCTTGGGCAATCTCAACTAGATAGGAATTTCCTTTCAAAGATGTTCTAACTGAAATCTTGATCGATTGAAGATGACAACAAACAACTAGACTTGAACCCGGATACTTATGCCTCGCTAATGCCCATATATGATCATCATGTCTTCATCGGCCATTGCGAAAACCCAGCACACAGCTATCAAGAAGACCTCCCATATAATAACAAGAAAGCCATCAGACCACGGAGGAGCGTGCTGCACTTTTCGTCCATGAAGCGTTTGATTGCCAATTGTGTTTGTAAACAGGTACTCCAGAAAATATATTGTAGGAGATACAATAATTGTATTGCCAAGTATAAACTTTATAGCACAACTGTAGCAATCGTAGACAACTAGACAAACTAATGTCATAGTATCAATCATATGTGTAGATAAAGTAAAAGTGGAAATTGCTTTAGTTAAGCCACTCATGAAAGTGGAGAAAATACCATTGGCCATTAGAGTTAGAATATTGTTCCAAATTGTAGAACAAATCATGGAACCTCTATTTGTAAATCTAGAAGTCTGTACTGCAGTTTGTTGTAGCCTATAAATTGTATCAAAATTATCAAAATGGATTCCCAGTCCTTACTGTCCAAATTAAAACCTAACACGTTCAAAATCTTCATGTGCTGATAGATTTTCCCAAGCCGTATGTCAAAGAGCGATATTTGAACAGAAATTGTTGTGTGTTGTATTTATCCAAAAAATTGCGGAGCACTAAAAACTGCTAGAATCAATTGGGGATTAGTGGATTGAATGAAGTTCTTTCCTCTTCTATTAGACCATAGGTGAAGTTTTAGTCCCGAAATACCACAAAACCCAACTCCAATGAAGAGTTGGGCCAAAAAAAATTGCGACCCACCAAGCGAATGATAGCCAAAAGACTATCAAGCTAGGTATGTTGGGCCTGCCGAGCAGCCCAATTGTGGAGCCCAGCACCAACGCCTTTCTGGTTTCTTGACAGCTGAGTGGACGCATGCATCTCAAAAACCCACGAGGAAAATCATGCTTTTCTGTATAGACAAAAACATGGCCTGATTTGGCTATACTTTACTTAATCAGAACACATAATTTGCAAAAACATGCATATTGTAGGTATTTTAATTGAAAAAGATGCGGAGCCCTTAGAAATACATAATTTGCAAAAACACGCATATTGTAGATGAACACACCATGTCAACTTTTTGCCACTTTGTTTTCAATTTTGCCCTCACTTTTGAGACACACTCTTGACAAAAGGAGGGCAAAATAGTAATTTTGCATCTTCTAACAAAATGACAATCATACCCTCATTTTCCTATTTTATCCTCACTTTTGATACACAATATTTACACAAAGAGGGCAAAAATGGTAATTATGTAATATTAAAAAAAAAGGTGCCCTTCTTAAGAGATCTCATCATCATTGTCTCTTACTTTTTTCTAAAAATTTTAAAAAGCTAATCACACTACTTAATCAAAAACAAAAAAGAAAAAGAAATTGTTCACACACAAAGTGTGTGCTTATACCCTAGTTTTAATTGAAAAAGATGTGGAGCCCTTAGAAATACATTATGTTTACATATTGCAAATTAGGACCCATTTTAAAACATGAATTTTTACTATCTTGACTCATTTTTTCACATTCTATCCACCTAAAAAATTATGTCTAAATAACCTTATTTTCACATGATATGAGTAGTAAATAAATTTAAAGAGTAAAATTAAAACTAACAAATTAGTAAAAGATTATATTTAATCATTTCGATAGAAAATAGTATATAAATATAACATAACTCTGTTCATTAAAAATTAATTTTTTTATAACTCTAGAAAAAAAATATACATAACCCTTTTAATTGGAGACGACTGACAAATCAGTCTTGTTTGCCATCAAGTTCAATACACGGATTTCCTCATTTATCATACAATTCAAGTGCTTAAGATGTTTCGACCAAAAAAAAAAAAAGAATAAAAATGCCTTAAAGATCTTTGACCACTCAGCTTTACGCCCTTCGTGCCCGAAGACGTAACTCTCTTGCAATAGCATTGTCTTGAGGTGCAAATTTGATCGCCTTTAGAAAGTCTTCCCGCGCAGCATCTGTCTAGGCCCCTGTTTGGTTTCGGAGAAAATCACAAGCTCAAATTTACGCGCACATTTTCTCAATTTTTGTGTTGGCATTGATAGTTTGCGGTGAAGGAGGTTATCGAGAAGGTTCTGGCTGGGCTGATACGGCCTCATTTCATTATAGCTAAATATTGGAAGTGGGCATTTCCAAGTTTGTTTGTGTTCTTGCTCATATGAACCCCTTAATCTTAATTAGTATATCTGAGCACGTTGAGTTATTTGTATGATTATTATTTATTTTTTTGGGGGTTTGTGGGTTTTAGAGATTTTTCGGTGAATGCATTGATTTTTGTATGATTTTTGATAGTGGGTTTTGATGCAGAACCTATTCGGTGATCAATCTGAAGAGGAAGAGGAATAGAGCGATTCCGAGCATGAGTCTAATCCACGGCCCAATTCTGTATGATCCTCTAATTTCAAGTTTCCCTTCTATTCTGATTCCAAAAGCATGTTTGTGAATGATTAGGGTTTCAATTTTTGCTTTAATCTTAGCTGAAGGAACATATAGGTTATGGTGTTGTCGTTGCGGTGGATGATTTGGATGATAATATGTATCTTGGGATTTTTGTTTTGTTGACTGGATTTCACCATGTCGGATTGGTTTTGCTTCTGATTGGTGAGGCTTATGTTATTGTTGATGGGTTTGGTTAACAGGGTTTTCATTCCTTTTCAGATTTGTTTCGGCACACACTTCTTGAAATTTGCAGGATACTACGGTGATATTTTCTATGATCTAATCAAATGAACTATTTAAAGTCAGTACTTTGAGGGCTCCGACCGCAGCACACATCAGCAGCGATGGCGAGGAGAAGCGGCACCAGATGATGCAGAACCTATTCGGTAATCAATGTGAAGAGGAAGAGGAAGAGGTGAATTCCGACGACGAGTCCAATCCCCAGCCCAAATCTATATGACCCTCTAATTTCAAGTTTCCTTTCTATTCTGATTTCAAAAGCATGTTTGAGAATGATTAGGGTTTCAATTTTTGCTTTAATCTTAGCTGAAGGAACATATAGGTCGTGGTTTTGTTAATGGCGGTGGATGATTTGGATGAAAGGATGTGTCTTGGCGATTTTTTTGCTTGCTGTTCTTTAGGCCTGGACTGAAGAAGATTTGGATGAAAGTATTGTTTTCTGTGTTAAACTCTGCATTTACTCCTTTTAACGGTGGGTGTTATCATTTTCTCTCCTTTTTCATATCTGTGTTGCCATTGACTGGGGATGCGGGTGATCCTGCTACCCTGTACGCCTCAGTACTGGGCTATAACAAGATTATCTATTGTGCTACTGCATGCTCTGCTATCAGCGGAGACCTCTACAGGGTTGATCAAAGAGGGGTATACAATCTTACTAAAGCATTTCAGGTGTGATCCTTATTGCCATATCCTTGAAATACTCCTTTTTGACATTTAGTAATCTGTTTCGGTTTTGATGTCTTTAAGTTTATGGGTTGGTTCAATGTTGGATTTGAATTTTACCCTTCGAGAGTTGCTTATGCGAAGCTTTTGACTGTTTGCATTGCAGGACTATAACAACAAAATGTTGCGATTACGAGCAGGAAAGAGTAGCAAGAGCAGACTTACAATTGTTAAGTTCAAGACTCCGGCGACTCCGGCGGCAGTAGATGGACGGGAAGTTCGTCTGGGGACTTACTTTTAGGATGTAGTTGCTCCTACGTATGATGGAGGAATGGATGTCAAGTTCAAATTCACTTTCACCGGAGATGCTGTTTTCTCTAGAAAGAGAAAGACTAATGTGGGGTTTTGAGGCTCTAAATGGAAACCAACTATTATTCCATTTACTCTATTTTATGCTGCATTGTAGGATATGTTGAGCTGTCAAAAAAGCTTTCACTTCCTTTGGGTCGGACCCTTGACCGGCATGCCATATTTGCATTCTCAAATGGAGCTTCTAAGCTAAAAGCAGCTTCCCTAAATGAAATTCATGATATTTTTCTTATTTTTAATTACCAGATTTCGGTAATAAAATTCATGGTATCCTTCTTATTATTAATTACTTGGAATTTGAACACAAAATGCATTCACTTTCATTTTCATTTTTATTGATTTAAAATATATTTTTCTTAACCGGTAACGGGTCGGGTCATATTACCTGAAAATATTAACGGGTTGAATTCGGATTGGGTTATATTACCCGTTTACTTTAACGGGTATTACACGATACGATCCGTTAAGCTATCACGAACACGAGAAACACAACACGAATGTCAAGTCTAGCTGAGATGGGTAACAAAAAGGAGAAGGCATATGTTATGGCCCAATTTGCTTTTACTTGTTGGCAAATATGGAAAACTAGATGTAATTTAATTTTCAATCATAAAAATTACTTCACCAATGCAGGTTATACATGTTATATCTTGTACTTATAGAACATATTTGGAGCTCAAAATGGTGGTCATATTGAGAATCATCAAAACCAAAACATTGGGACATAAAGAAAATGTTGGTCACCTCCAGAGCATAAATCATTTAAGGTTAATGTTGATGCAAGTTGAAATTGTAGAACTAAACAAGCTTGTGTAGGAATTGTGGTGAGAGATGCATAAGGAAAGTTTGTGGTAGCCAACATGTCATCTTTTAGAGCCTCTAGTGTTACTGTAGCTGAAGCTATTGCTGCTCATAAAGGCTGCCTGTTTGCGAAACAACAAGGTTTGAAAGAAATTATGTTGAAGTCTGATTCAAAAGAAACAATATTATGTCTTAAAAATTATGTGGAGTTGGGAAGCTCTTCCTATCTTAAGGAAACTCTTGAATGCTAAGAAGTGGTTCCTCTCGTGTTGTTGGTCTTGGATCCTTAGGTCAGAAATTTGGCGGCAGATTTCATGGCGTCGCCCAAAAACACGGTGATAAGAGATGGTATTTGGGTCAACAGACCCTCATCTTCGCTTGTTCCTATTTTGGATAAAGACGGTTTACCATGCCCCCTAGTATATAAGTTTTGTTGACTGTTCATGGATGACTATTTCGCACTTGTGCAATGTCTGTATCATGGAATTTCATCTTCACCCATTAGATTTTCTCGATTGATGTAGTTTTTTTTTTTTTTTTTTCTCTTGTTAGCCTTTTGTTGGGCTTTTATTATAATATCGGCTTCTTGCCTTGGTTATGTTATGCCAGTGTATTTAAAAAAAAAATATATATATATATATATATATATATATATATCATTTGCTAATTCTTCTATTTGCTTGTTGAATTGCTAACTACGTTGAAAATGCATTTTTTTTTTTTACATGGTATAACAAATCCATCTTTGCTACTCTTCTTTTTCATGACCATTTTAATCATTTTGTTTGAGGAATTTTTCAGTGTATCCAAAATACAGTACATATGACCTACGCCATTATATAAGTGAAAAGATACTTAAAAAACAAATCGTGTAATAACATTTGATATAATGCCCTACGCACTGGCCAACCAAAAAAAAAAAAAAAAAAAAAAAAACCCCTCATCTTTGCATGCGCTTGCTTTATCATTTCATAAGTTACACAACGTGTCCTCTCTAACTATAAAATTAAAAACCAAACTTTAATTACGAAATTCCACCCCTTGGCTAAGGCTTCGCCCCTTCTTCCTCTCCCCCCTCAGATCTACCCAAATCCCAAATTTCAATCCCCAGTCCAAGAAATTTCACCTCCGACTTTCCAACGATTTTGGCGCCCGATTTCTTCAGATAAAGCACCCACGGATATTTGAATTTTTGCTGGTTTTTTCGAGGGTTTTGAAAGATGTGGAGCACGATTGCGAACCTGAAGGAGAATCTCAACAAGATGGCTCAGGACGTGCACGACGACGAAGAAGACGACGAAGAGCACGAGATCTACGCTATCAATGGAAGCCAAGCTTCTTCATTATCTGATCGGAGGAATTCCCACAGCTTCGCCCATTCCAAGTCCCCCTCGCGCTCTCCGATCCCCAATGGCATCGATTTCCAATATAGTCCCGAGGTTTGTGATTTTTTTTCTTGGCAATTTGTGTAATTTGGGTTTGGGAATTTTTTAGCTGTTAATAATGAATGCTTCGATCGATTTCGATGAGTTTGGATTTAGGATTATGTGTTTTTTGCTGAGAATTTGGTTATTATCTTAGTGAGCCATTGAATCTTTCGGCATCTGCGTGTGGCGTACAAATTCCAACTTCGAAAGGGAGGTACATTTGCAAATGGTTGTTTATTTTCGTATTGAAATGGGAGTCTCTAATTTATTTGCGGGGTTAGGTTGTGAGCAACGGAGTTTGAATGGGGTAATATGTGTAGTAATTAATTAGTGAGTGGGATGATTATGTTTTTCAAAATACAAAAGTTGGATACTTCCCGTTAGTAGGTGTCAGTAATTCAGAAATTGATGTATTTATTTGCTAAACTCTACACAAGTATAGTGCATTGCTGTGAATGCACGAATATTTTGTGTTTAATAAGCCTTGATACAGGCCCTGAAGCAGAATTGTCGATAAGAAGTGTGAGGGTCAACATTTTATCTAACTTATGTGGCAGCAGCGGTTATAGGAGGTCTAAGATTTTTGCCTATATGGCCTGGCATCCATGCACCAAGTATAAGTTTTATTATTCTTCGTTTTCCTGAGGAAGGCCTCATAGTTTGTAACGTTTAATATGGATATGATTTTAGCATTCTATCTAGTGTCTGCGCGGATGAATGGGTTTCAGAGTCATTCACTCTTTTGTATGTTGTTTTTGTTAATTTTGACGTTAATTTAAATTTTAATACAAGTAGGTACACCACTAAAAGTATTTTAGCAGAAGCTGAGTTCATGTCAAGAAATCTATCTATAACGAAACATTAAATTGATTCTTAGAGGAGTGTGTTCCATATTTTATTATCATCATCACTGGTTACTGTCCATGTTGACTTTTTTGCACCCCTTGTCTTTTGCAGCTGTTATTTGGTTTGTTTCATCAGATGGAGAATGTGATGATATTCTGATCTGCATTTTTTTCCCATTTCTTTTAGATTGAACAATACAAAGCGGAAATTAAGAGGCTTCAAGAATCCGAGGCAGAAATAAAAGCATTATCAAAAAACTATGCAGCTCTGTTAAAGGAAAAAGAGGTACCCAGATGACTCTATGAAATTATAATATCAATTTCATCCTTTTTGTTTATTGTGTTTGATGGAGGTATCTCTAATTGGATTTGTGCACCTTATATTCGGTATGGAGTGGCATCTTGATAAATACATTACAACTTGCCCTTTAACATTTGAAGCGCCCTCACGTTTGACAGGATCAAAATTTCAGACTGAGTAAAGAAAATGGCTTATTGAAACAGAATCTGGACTCAACTACTGCATCTCCGAATGCATCTAGAAACGAAAATCACAAAGCAGCTGCAAATGGAGTCAACGTGCTCAAGGTAGTTGTTATGAACTTATGACAAAGTCTACTTGTGTCATCATTAACATTTGATTGCAATGAATCTGTTCAGTAAGTTTGCCAGTACTCAGTGGTTAGCTTCAATCAAATCATAAACTTCTTTATGATACATCTGTTATCATATGTTACGAGGTTTAGTGGTCAGAAAAAACTGATTACTTGTTATTTATTTGGTCTGCATGTTAGTTATCTGAACATTTAATAAGAAGGGCATTAATAAAGTAGTTGAATCGAGAGTTGTATAGTTTAATTGCCATAGCAGAGTTCCAGATCCTTAACCCCTTTACAGAGTGGATTAATTGCTTCCATATAGTTTATTAATTTCACATGTCCTACTTTATTGAGTTAGCAAAAATTACGTAGTTGTCTCATTGTCATTGGTTTTCCTTGAGCTCTAATAATTGGCTAAGTTAGCCTCAAATTGACTCAGGGAAGCAGTAATCAGTTGCCCAACAGACAGCATAAAGTGACAAGTCCAGCAAAAATTGGACACTCTGGATATCAGAAACAGAATGGTGTTGTCCATATAGAAGACAATATAAGTAATGGGATTTCTCAGCTTTCAGATATTCAAGGGAGTGAAGGGTAACGCACCTTGTATTCTTTTCTTTTTCAGTTAGATCTACCTGTCTCCTGTTTCCAATAGTGTTTGATTTTTCTTTCTATAATCTGTTTCCAGAAACAAAAAATGATGAAACAATAAAATTACACAAGGAGTGGACAAAATGGCCACAACTAAGATAGAAACAGTTTTAAAAAAAATTATAGAAGAATATATTCTAAGGCACTATCCACTATGACATAAACATAGACCACACAACCTAGATTATAAAAGCTTTCCAATCTAACTACATACTAGAATAAGATAAAGCCCGGAATTCTGTAGAGACTGAAGCCCATAATAGTTATCTAGAGCAGTTTTGGGTGTAGTTAGAATTCGAATTTATGTTTTTGATCCCCAGTATGTTATTTTTCTTGTAATGATGAAAGAACTTGACGACAGATGTATAAATGCCTTCTAGGAGCTTGCAGATTTACAAGAAGAGAATAATAGGTCCCCAGCAGCAGTGCTAGCTACTGCTGAGATGACAAAATTGCGGATAGAACTTGAAAAAGAATGCAATCAGTCGAAAAATATACATCGAAAGTTACAAGGTACACTGCTATGCGAAGATTCAGAAGGGATTCTACAAGTCATCTTGAACATTTTTGTAATTTTTTTTATTTAATCTCTGTTGATTCGCAGAACAACAGAAATTGAATGAAGCAATCCAGGAAGAGCTCAAATTTCTGAAGTTGGATAGAGAAAAGGTGGGTTTCAAAGTTGGACAGAGACATTCATATTAGATGCATATATTTTTTATCAAATGCCTTTATTTCGGTTCTGTATGGTTATTGTTAGCTCTTGACTGCTCATTATTTTTGCACTAGCCATTTGTATCTATCTACCCATGTATATGTGTAATTTATGCGGGTTTCTTCTACACTGCATCATTACCATTTTAATTTGGAAATATCCAAAAAGATTTCTGTACTTTATTTCAGACATCAAGGGCTA